GTGGAAGAACCACAAATAACAAAAACACTATATTTTTACCTGAGAGAATACCTCTCTGGGAATCTCTAAGTCCTCCAGTGCAACTCTGTGGTCAACATCTGCCAGACATTGACTATAAAATTGCTCTGGAGGTGCAACAAATGCCTAGTGGAGTGTTCTCTCTAGGAATCCAGGTCCTTGAGTGTGATTTTTGGTTAAAGTTGACCATAGAGTTGCGCTGGAGGACCTAGATATTCCTAGAGAGAACATATTAATAAAATCTATATCAAAATCTAATCAAATCTGCAAAGTCAAAGCCACAAATGTGGAGGGACGAGTGTAATTTCCAATCTGGTCAGCTTCTGTCCACAAAACAGAAGCAGGTGCCATCTTGTCCTTTGCCTTGAAACAAAATGTCTTGGGCCAACCACAGATTGTTTGAAGCCTCCTGACAGTAAATTTTTACCTCCAGAAATGATGCCTGAGTTTTTGTACAGTGGTCCCTCCACATTCACTGGAGTTAGGGGCACAGGACCCCCATGAAAGTGGAAAAACTGCAAATAAAAAAAACCATTATGTTTTTAACCTGAGAGAACACCTCTCTAGGTCCTCCAGGGCAATTCTGTGTTCAAGATCTGCCAGACATTGACCATGAAATTGTGCTGGAGTACCTACAAATGCCTAGAGAAGTGTTCTCTCTAGGAATCTCAAGGTCCTCCAGCATGACTTTTGGCAGAGGTTGACAATCGAGTCATGCTGGAAGGCCTAGAGATTTCTAGAGAACATATTAATTAACTCTGTGAATAATCAAATCTGAAAATATCAAAGCCGCAAATGTAAGGACCAACTGTATATGTGTTCTTGTGTGTTTTGTAAAATATGGTCAGGATGTGCTTTAGGAAATATTTGTGGGACAAAAATCTTTTTACCAGTTGTTGCACAAATTCTTGTTTCCCTTTCTTCTACCCCTTCTCTTCTCATTAGGTTAGGACCAAAGAATTACTGTGAGTGTGCCAAAAGCAGCAAGCTGACAGTGTATCAACTGGATGATTATATCGACAAAGATAAACTTGCTTCGGTCAAAAAAAGACGTGAGAAGGAATTCAAAGATTATCATAGAAGGTACCCTACCCTAGTGAACAGAGGCATATCTCTTAGAATTGGATTTCATGGATGGATTAAATTCAGAAGCACCCCTTGATCATGTGACACAGGTTGAGCCTCCCTTATCTGGAATTCTGAAATCCGAAATTCTCTAAAAACCAAAGCTCTGCCAGAAGTTGACCATAGAGTCATGCTGGAGAACCCTAACCCTAACCCTAAATTTTGTTTTGATTTGGAGTTGTTAACTTATCTCTACATAGTTACCATCCAGATTCACACATTTTTCCCAGCGTTTCTTGACCCTCCGAATACCATTATTGTAGAAGTCTGCAGATTGCGCCTTAAAGCACTCTTCCAGTTCATGAATGATGTCATCTTTGTTATCAAATTGGTGACCCCACAATGGATTTTTCATTTTTGGGAAGAGAGAAAGTCACTTGGTGATGATGACACTGACAAAATTTCATCAATAT